ATATTATTAACACAAAATTATAACATATATAAAATGGGAGGAATCATTATACACATAAAATATGTTGTTATCAAAAGAGCCTATTTGATTTACTTTTGAACAGTGAGTCGCAGTTATTTTAAATTATTTTAAAAAATATCATCAGAAAAAAATTCGGCTAACTGATTAAAGAAATTTTTCAATTGCATAATTCCTGACAATTTTTTTCATCCTTATAATTTCAACATTCAACTGTATGCCCATCTCTATTTTCACTATTATAATAACTGTTATACAGAGATAGACTCTATTTATATGGGATACTATCATCATAATTGATTACATAAATAAAAACTTCTTTAAAATATCTTACTATATCATATATTCTTTAAATATCTATCAGTAAAAATATCTGGCTGTTAATTTCTAAGATGGGCGTATCCAGGAACTAAAGATGGGTATGGTTTTCCTCCTTTGGAAGCTGACAAAAATTAAAATAAATTCTAATTTCTGATAAATTTATTTAAAATGACAGTTTGGTTGTTTTTGTTTTGAAAGAAACTAATTACGAAACAAATATTAATTCCGCCACCTTTAAATTAACTTTTCCCTGCTCTTGACTGAAATAAAAAAACATAATATAAATCTTTTTTTTGTGTGTGTGTTGTGCTGAGAGGTATATGACAAAGCAATTACTGCGGTTGAAATGTAATATGCACACATTCGGATTTCGAAAAATGAGAATCCATTTCGCTATTATTGTGATTATTTTTCTTTAAAAGAAGCTATTAAAACTATTTTCTCATTTCGAAAACAAAGGCCTTTGGAACTTTTAAACTAGCAATTGGAACAAATTTAATCTAATCTGTACCAAAAAGGACAAACATTGGAGTGGCTGAGATCAATGTACGTTCTCATGTTGTTTATCCTCCTTTCTTATAATTTCAATTAATTAATTTTTCATCCTAATTACATATTATTAAGTTGAATTTGAATAATTTATTTTAACTGTCAAAGAAAATTATTGTACTAATATTATATATATATATATGTATTCCTCAAAAATATGATTGGAACTATGACTAGTTCCAAGCAACAGAAACGGCGTAAACATTTTATATGAATTATTATTTTTAATCTATATATGATTATGTATTTATCAAAACCTCATTTTAATCTCACAGCCTTTTGTTTAACATTTAAAATATTTTTATAAACATTTAAAAAGTATTATCGTTTTGGCTCCAAGAGCCAATTAGATGTTTTGATAAAATGAGGATAAGAAAGGAATTTTTGAGAAGATTCGGAGGAAAAAGGAAATTGAGCAAAGTATTTTATATTTAATAAAACAATTACTGCAATACCATTAGTAGAATTCTAAATACATATATATTTTTTAAGAATTTTTTTTAGAAATAATGTTTTTATGGTGACTAATGTTCTTAAAAAAAAATTTTTTTTGAAATTGGAACCCAAATGTTAAATCATAATTTTTAAAAGGTAAAATAAAAGGCTGAGATGTTTTAATAAATACATAATCATATATAGATTAAAAACAATTAGAAAATCTCACAAAAAATATGAATAACCTAAATAACGTTGTTTATCATAATTATATATGGATTATTAAGACAAGTTTAAAATAACACACAGAAAGTATTAATTTGTTTATTATCTACAATATTTCTAATTTAACCTTTGATTGCACTTGTTCTTTTGGAGAGAAAAATACCAAAATTTTTTTTCTGAAAGGCATGCCCTATTAGGGGAAATGGGCACCCATATTTGGCCTATTATTTTAAATCAAATTTTGTTTCTCCCTCTCATAATAAATAGTATTTATTTCAATATGATATTGTCATTTGTTCACTGACCAACATGCTATGTGGATTCTATGCACGGGCCATCTAGTGCTAAAATGTTTTTACGAAAACAGATCATATCCAAAAACCGTAAAACTATTTCCGTGCCCTAAATTCTTTGTTTTTTTTTTTTTTTGCATCTCAATTTTTTCTACTCTCTATGTGAAATTTTCGATTTATTTCTTTGTAAATCAAGACCTGTGTATAGTAAATCAACGCATAGTTCCCAAAATAAAAAAACAGCTATTGAAGATTTTTTTTTTAAATAGAAGAAAAAACATATTGACACACATCGCCTCTGGTGGACCCATCAGAGGTTTATCAGCTTTTAAGAGTCCTCATAGCCTATTGGAAAGTGGCTGGTGGCTTTCCATCAAGATTGCAACTCGAAAAGAAACCTATCTCCTCAAACAGGTTTCACCAACTCAACACTCACTGCAAATCAACTGATACTAGGGCACGGTTGTGTTAGCTGAGTTCATTTCCATGATCAGGGACATGAATGTTGGTATGCAGGAACTATTTTCAGCTGAGCTATATTTCCCAGTAACCAGATTAAAACAGTACAGGTTACTGTTAAAAAAAAAAGACGCGGACGATAAAACAATTTTGACAGAACACCCTAACCTCAGACTCTCCTCCTTAGAAAATCACTTACTAAATTTCCAAAATTGGTACTCACTTTAGAAAATTAGATTAAATCAAGACAAATCACATTACACTCAGACGAGGCACGACGAGATACCCACCAGTTTATATATGCTACAACCAACTTCCTCAGACAAATATGGTCTCTTGGCTAATATTCGACACAAGGATGAACTAGGGCCCATTCCAGAAAATGAAAAGAAATAATTAAAACAAACGACTGATAATGCTTTACTCACATTTTTCCAAATAAAAAAATTAGACAAAAACTAAATACATGCGTAAATCCACATTGACATACGCCTCCCAGATTTACGGTTCAGCAAAAAAGACGTACTTACATAATCCAATCATTCCAATCCAACATTTTGTAGACTAACAGGCGCTCTCTGGTACGCAAACAACAAAACTATCGATCAATACATCCGTACTCTCTTCTATCGATTTCATTTCAAATTTCACGGATAAATCTATAGACTTATAGACGACATGGACACTACTGACATGCTCACCAGAAGGCAACTAAAAAAGAGCTGGATGTGAGATTCCCTTTCCTGAATTCAGGAAGCAAATGATCAGGAAGAGGTGCTGCTGAGAACTGTTCTTCCTTTTGACTATAATTTCCAAGTTTACTGCATAAGCACATCTGCATATTTTTAAATTCATGTCAGGTGCGGATTAAGATTTGAAGAAAAAATAATGAAAAAAAAACTTTTGAGCTTAATTTGAACGCATGACATTCATAGGTCATGTTTTTTTTTTTTTAATTAATATTGCATAGTTCTCGCATAAATCTATATTTAGGCAAAAAGATGAAACTACATCAACTAGCCATTGGTTTTAAAACTAGACAAATAATCACAAAATATAATACATGATTTTTCAAAAACATCGTGGCACTCATGAAAGATTAATAAAATGCCTATTATGTTTTTGATCTTAAAAAAATATATAAACGGAGATAAACACTTCAGCCTTGGCGTTAAAATAGAAATTCTTTCCGCCTTTTCATATTGAAGAGTTATTGTGATAACAGCCATCACTGGCGGATCTATGCTAAGTGGGCAGCAATTTTCGGCCTGAAGCCCCACAAAAAGGAAACATTATTTTTTTTTCATTAGTCCATATTTTTTATTGTGAGTAATCTTAGCTAAATACTTAAACAACCCCAATATGTTCTATTTTTTAAATTGTAATGCATATACAGCTCCTAAATACAAACATGTCTTATGAAAACATTTATCTCTAAAAGTACCATTGTTCGTGTAATTAAATTTTTAATAGAACTTCAAGAATCACTTAAACATCATTTCATATAGTTTCTTTATTTCTCTTCCCAAGTAGTTGTCGTTACACTAATAAAAAAAAAGCTTTTGGTTTGAATCCCCTCCCTTAAAAAAAAAAAAATTAAATTCTGGATCGCCTACTTAACGAGGTTTTCAGTAACTATTTACTATTTGTTCTATTTATCTTTAAATCAACTAAAATTGTAACTTTTTTCGTATAGTGTAAATAAAAAGCCTTGAAGAACATGAGACGTTATTTCTATTTGTCAAAAACATTTTTTGAGAGATATATGGATATTTAAAAAATCTATATTTACGCAAGAAAAAATGGAGATGAAACTAAAGTAACTAACCCTTAATTTGAAAAAAATATAATGCACCACAAATTACAGCAATGGATTTTTAAAAAACACCGCGGCACTTATGAGAGATAAATGAAATACTGGTTATGTTTTAAAAATTGCGTCATTCGAGCACCAACTGTAGATAAATTGTTAAACCTTGGCTTTAAAATAGAAATTCTTTCAGCCTTTTCAAATTGAAGGAACATTGTGATAACAGCCATGAGTTTATCGATAACTATTATAGACATAATTTGTTCTATTTATCATGAAAAAATAGAAAAGTAATAAGCTAAATCTGTTGCTATTCCGTAAATAGAGATTTTTCCAGAATATTTGAATTTTTTTTTTAATTGTCAGAAAACATTTTTTTCTGAGAAATATATGTGTTTTAAATATCTTCATTTAATGATGGACCGCTTACAATTAATTTTTTACCATGTGTATAGTCATTTTAACTTACAATTAGTGACAAAGACGAACCAACGAGATTTATCAGATTTTTGATAAGTTTGTCTGTCTTATTGAGCGCTAAGAAGTGTTCAACCTGTAGAACATCGAATGTACTCTTCTTTTTTTTTTAATGACTCTCTCTCTCTCTCTCTCTCTCTCTCTCTCTCTCTATATATATATATATATATATATATATATATATATATATATATATATATTTAATGATTAATATTGTCAAGTAAACAGTAAGGAAACTATTTATTCGGCAGACTACCACCGGTTCTATATATATATACCGGTTCTATTTCTAGGTATATATACCGGTTCTATTCTATTTATATATATATATATATATATATATATATATATATATATTTAATGATTAATATTGTCAAGTAAACAGTCAGGAAACCATTTATTCGGCAGACTACCGGTTCTCCAGTAGACTTCGGTCCTGTGTGGTCCTGGAGATAATGGACGATTGTCGTGACGCGGCGGCTGTTCACCCCTCTGGACTCCAGTGTCCCTTCCAGCCATTCCCAGCTCTGTGTCCTGTCACTAGTCCAAGTTCGTTGTACTGAATTTAGAAGGTCTGTCTTAAAGTATGTACCATTAAGGAAAAAAACTTTAAAATCCTTAATATACCTCAATACTCTGGAGCATTTCCATAAAATATCATGTTCTAGCTTGACTCATCTTATTTTCTCATTCATTGGCTATTTCTAATAATATTTAACATAATTTAAAATAATACATTTTTAAATTAAAATATTCTGACAGAGCCTAGAAATTTTCTCTATTCGGCCAGTGTTGGCAAGAATATCTCAAGGATCAATACTTGCTCCTTTACTCTACGTTATATATACGCATGACATACCTATCAACTCTTAAACATAGACCGCCACCTACGCTGATGATACAACAATTTTAATAAAACGCCATAACCCTAGACTAGTCTCAATGAATTTACAAAATTGGTACTCACTTTAGAAAATAAGATTAAATCATGACAAATCACAATATATAACATTTTCAATTCGACGAGACACGTACCCTCAAGTTTATATAGGAGAGAACCAAAATCCTCAGACAAACATTACCTTAGACTAATATTCGACAGAAGGATGACCTGGGGTCCACACGTCAAAATAAAATTACAGACTTTAAGCAAGCGACTGAAAATACTGCACTTTATTATAAACTGAAATAGAAAGTTCTACAAAAACTAAATACATTCACTTACCTATCTGAACAACCACCTCTCCGGTTCGGCAAAAAAGACGCACTTACAAAAACCACAGTAATTGCAATTGAAAATTTTACGACTTATACGAGCAGCTTCCTGGTATGTCAATTATAAAACTTTACATGACTTACGACAACCATCTTTCGAACAACACATACTTGTGAGTTGTTTTCAACTTTAAACCACACGGTCTTATAAGCATTATGGCCACGACTGACATACCCATCAGGAGAAGACTAAAAAGGAACTGGATGAGAGATCTCCTCACCTGAATCAAGGAAGTAAACAACGACCAGGAATAGGAGCTGATGGGCGATATCCTTCCTCATGCCTCTAATGCCAATCCTTATTTATCACAATAAATCTGCTGATTGTCAATACCATGACAGGTGCGGATAGATATTTGAAGTAAAAAAAAATATTAAGCTATAGGACAATATAAAGACAATAAAACTCTATAACCAAAATATATAAAACAAAAAAAAAATACGGGATTACGGGATTTATTATCAAACTTTCAAACACTTTCATGGTCATTCAAATTCCATGGAATTATTCATACACCTAGGAAAGAAAAAACTATGAAAAATCAAAAAAATATATAAATTTATCATTCATTCACTTTGATGTTTTTGATAGTTATTAAAATTATAGGTCTTCTCTTCTTATACCAACTAAATATGACTGAAATTTGATACTTTTAAACTAGTTTATGTTTATTGCTGAATAGTCGGTCGCTTTTCAACTGTCATATGGTTTTCGTCCCACACCTTAATATCAACAGGTATGCCTATTTTCATTTGTATAGAAATACTTGATTTTAAAATAATTTTGTTGGAAAAAATTAATATTACTATATGTGGAAAAATAGTGCTATTTTATTATTATTTTTTTTTTTTTTTTTTTTTTTTTTACAAAACCTTGGCAATGGCGAGCTAACTGGAGACCGTGAAGGTCTGTGGCGAGAGGACCCTGATGTCTGCGGCTCTTCTCGTTCCAGTAAAACTGGAAAATCCTTTCTCCCTGACTCCAGTATGTAAAAAAAAATTCGAGGATTAGTCCAACTCGAGCGCGCCCACCGGTATGAGGGAATTTTCTGCAGTCACTTTTTTATCTACGGGCAAAAAAATGTTTCTGATAAACTAATCTTACACATTGTATTTCCTGTTAACTCTGTATTAAAGATGGATGACATAAGACATAAGCACTCCTTTCACTGTCATGACTCAGAGTTCATCGGTAATAGCGAAGCGCTGAGCACAAGGTATTTTTAGATGGCGGAAACAAGTTGATTGCGAAAATGCATTGCGGTGTTCTGGAATAACTAACAAAATTCCCAGACACATCCCTCATTAAATTTTATGATATTCATTTTTAAAATCATCAATCATTTTGACTTACTTATGATCTTTCCATTGTGTTTATTTCAGTAGCATAACTAAGGCATATATCTAGGATCAATAAGCATTCCCTGCCCAAGTAATAAACATTTCTTTCCGACAGATTAAAGATACTTTACACTTCTTTTTTTCTATAAAAAATTGATTTGTGCCTGTCAACTTCCTGTTGACAATCAGCAAATGTGCTGGCGATACATGAAATAATGACGACAGGCATTGGGAAGGAATGTACTCAGCAGTACCTCTTCCCTAACTTGTTCCAATTACTCAGGTTGTTTAAGGAAGATCTCTCATCCAAAGCCGTTTTAGTATCCTCCTGAGGTATGTGTTGAGGTGTGTTCTGAGGTATGTCAGCTGTGGCCATGTATATTATTAGTCTGTTATTATGTCCGTTTAAATTATGATAAAATCGTAAATAAAGGGTCGTTATTGTCGTTATGGTCAACTGTTGGAAGGTGAAGTTTTGTTAGCATGTAGCTTGTAGAGTTTTGTTAGTAACGTACCAAGGTGCTTTTGTTATGAGTCGCAATAATTTTGATCGGAAGGTTTGATACTTTAAAGTAAATAAAAATTTAAAATATTTATCACTAAATAGTTGTTACCAGATAATACAACAAATAATGGTCTCAGATTTTAGAAGGCTCTGTATTACTCCAGCTTCTATCCCCAACACCTGAATGGGAATCAACCACTTTAATACTCAAAAATCTTATCTAATAGAAAAGAGTTCAAAGATTGATATGTATAAGGAATAGCAAGGCTTTCTTTTCATACGATCTCAAAAGGCCGGTTCAAGTGGTTTGGTTTCTTGATCAGTTTTTTGGATAAAGTCACATCCAACATACTGAAATTTTTTGACTAAACTAAAGCTTGTGTTTAAAAAACATACTATTCTTTAAACATGTTGTTTTTTTTTATTGTGAAATTCTTATTATTATAACACTTTCCAATTTTCATTTTAAATTTGAAATGTCGGGTTTAGCCCATTATTAACTTTTTTAATTTAAGGAATCTAGTTAATATGGGTTTTTAATCGATACAAAAAACATCTTTCTTATTAAAATGTTACGAACAACTGGACTCGTATTTTTTAAATTATTTTAATGAATTGATGGTCACAAATGAATGAATTAACTGTAAGTTTAAGAGAAAATTCGTATTTTATAATAACATAGATGATACTAGAGTGGGTGGATTAACTTCTGGGTACATCCACATTGTTCGTTTGTCAGTTTAATTTTGACTGTTGTAGGCTTATATTTTATACTTTTCATGGCGATTGAATTGAAATCCAGTACCTGCTTAGCTGAAGATGAGTTAGTTATAGGATAGTTCTATTGATACAAGTGGTTTGTCCTAATTTTTTTCTTCTTTGTTTCTTCCTTGGTTTTTTCCTCCTTGTTCCTAAGGTGATAAATAAAATATTATTAGAAGGAATATAAAATTTAAATCTGGTTCAGCTTAATTTTCATCTCAATAGACATAAATTATTCCCGCATAATCTTGCAAGGAGTTCCATCTTCACTCGACAGATTGAAGCACCCTTGCAGTGTTTTAAATGAATTTGGTGGATTTTAAGTAAATGCATTTTCAAAACGTTCAGGGCTTTTTCTGGATCAACGTGTCTATTTTTAATATTTAAAATTTACAACACGCCAATGTGGGCAAGACTACTTTCAAAATAATTATAATTAATCATTAAGCAATTATTAAATATCCATAAAACTCAACAAATAACCAGATCTCATATATTTATGCAATTTCATATTTTGTTTTCTTGTCTTTTATAAATATTTGAATCTGTGTATTCAATTGCAATGAATTTTATTCAGGCTTATATTTTATCTTCCGCGAACCGTAAAATATTCTCACGGGCAATCCCAATGATAAATATCTTTTGGAATATTTGATCATGGATACTTACTCAAATATATAAACGGTAATACTATATTCATGTATTTAATAACCGCATTCTACTTACCTTTCTGGTCCAGTTTTTAAGCTAGTTTATTTTATTAAGAGTTTGTAGATACCATAAAATATCTATAGAAAGATAGCTGTATTCATATCACCTGTTGGAAAAAGAAACTTGGAATTATTTCGACCTGATTCCACCCTATACGGCATTACGAGTAATTAGAGACGCTTGAGGAGATGAAAAAGTAGATTTGTGCCGCTAAGTGGTCGTCCTTGGTGAACACCTTGCGACCGTCCGATCCTCTCTGTCGACTTCAAGCCTCCTCAAATGGTAAATGTGCCTGGCATAGTTTATTATTTTCATCACACGTTTTAGTCTTCCGGGACTCGAACTCCCGAGGTATAGAAGGGTCTGAGAGAAACCATTTCTTTGTTGAATGGTATAGGGTATATACGGGTATTTTGGTTATATTTTACTAGGTTATTTTGTATAGAAGAGGTTATTTTGATATTTCTGTTTAGTACTTACATATTTAATAACAGCTATTAAAATAAACTACTCTATAATACGAATTGTTTGAAAGCTCTAATGTCGATATTATATTTTTATTTATTGAGTAATATCTGCCAATCTGTCAATTGGATAATAGTTGTTGAGAGATTATTAATATATATACAATGCTTAATTTCCTTAACCTTGCGTGCTTGGAGGGATTCTTTCCATAATGCCCTATCTAAGGTCCATTCTTCCCGCAGACCGTGGCCTACCATGGATTCCTCCACTTCGTTATCCCAAGTCTTCCTCCTCTTTTTCTTCCTCTAGTTTTGCATAAGTGGACTTCTTTAAGTAGACTTCCTTCTTGCATTCTCTTCAAATGTCCAGACCAATTCAGCCGTTTTTTCTCAATCTCTTCCAGAATAGTTCTTTTAGCCTCCATCTTTTCTCTGATGGTCGTAGTTCTCACTTTATCCATTCTGGATATTCCCGCCGCTCGTCTCCAGTATTCCACTTCTGTGGCTAGGGGTTTCCTCCTGAGATTGCTTTTTAAGTTCCAATTTCCTGATGCTTGTCATAATGCTCAGTACTATACTGTTATAGTTGGTTTTTTTTTTGGTTTTTTTGGAGATAATGTTCCGGTTCCATAATACCGAGTTGACCATTGATATGTTTTTTTTTACCATGTGAACTTTTTATTATTATTTCCATTTTTATCACATGCGCCATCTATTTCAATTATGGAACCAAGATATTTATAATGTCTTTAACCCCTTTTCATGTGTTCCGTCTTATATGCATTAATTACTAGTCCCCACTGCTGGTATTCCTCATTTATTTTTCTTAACATATATTCAGTATCTTCTGCGTACTGTGTAATGATGACCTGGTCATATGCGAAGGATTTGTTATATAGGAAGACATTTTCTTTCAACTGAATCTCCATGGGTTCGTATTTTATTCTCCATGCTTTCAAACAAATGTGTTTCCTTTATAAATTTCCTTTATTGTATCTATCAGACTTACATAACAATATAAAATAAACATATGCAAAATAACGACTAAATACTAATTAAAAAGTGTAATGTCGATATAAAAAATTCCTTTAGCTTGAAATATTTTAATGAGGAATACTCCTGGCTTTTAAATATCACATACAGGAATGAAGCGATAACGAACCATAAACCCCAATAAATCAGGAAAAATGTGGGCAATAATGGCATAGCTTCCAAGGTATTGTTTACAACCTCTATTTCGCTCAAGGACAAAATTTTAAGCATATTTTAATCGACTCAACAAACAATTGTTTTTTTATTGAAGAACTATGAGTTCTCTTATGTAGATAGATTGCAGAAAATATTTGTATATGTATGAATTTACGTCACGAGAAGAAATAACGAAGAATATTTGCGATTACTTTGGTTTTAAATATTTATCTTTATATCGTTATCTTTACCAATTTTAAAACATACCACGTTGATGGAAAAAAATTATTTTTTTTTAACATTGTGTGACCAATATGTGATTTAAACTATTAATATTTTAGCAGCTATTCAAAATTGTTTTCATAGTATTTTTTTGTTTATTTACAGAAATCTCGGATTTAATTCATTAAAACAGAGATACTTCGCTATGTTGTCATTGTGTGTATGAAAATACGTGTATAATCCATATTAAATGCGCTGAAGCCACGGGGCATATTACACCATGAAATGCATGGATGACTTAATATCCCGTGGTTATATATTACATTATTATATTAATCAAGTCATAGTTATGATATGAATTTAATTTACAAAGACATTTTTATCAGTAGATTGAAATACATTATTAATTTTTTATCTCATTACCCTCTTGAACATACTGACGAATAATTAATTCTGAGAAGATACAGGCATCACGTTTCGATACCATTGCCTTGTGGATTTTATTTTTATGTATATTGTGTAATATTAGAATTATTTCATATTATCTGATTTAATATTTCGTTTCGCTTGAGCATGTCGTAGTCGACTTATGAGAAAACTGTTTTACTATTGACTATTATACTATATGTTGCCTTATCAAGAGCAGGTTAAGGTAAAAACCAGTATAAACGTTCACCACAGAGAGAAAAAATAAATAAATAAAAATATCGTTTACGTTGAAGTAATAAGTTTTATTTAATTAGTTTTAAACATATAATGTTCTCAAAAAACTTTATAGTTAAAACTGAAGAATTTTTCTGCTTCTTCAGAAGATAACAAAATGAAGAACCTTGCAGCCAAGTCATTTTTTTTTGTTTTATTTTTTAAATGATTGGTCCCTTTTTTTTTTTTTTTTTTTTTTGCACACTACTTTCTTATGATATTCAGTTAAATGCATCTGGTCATGTATCATGTATTCTTCACAAGTTTCTGTATTCGTAGATAAGTTTTTGTATTTGACAGTTTTCTTTGACGGTGATCTGAGTTCCCTAGTGAAAACTGTTTTTTAAATTAATTATTTTACGTGTGACAATCCGATCGTTTTATAAAAATAATATTTATGAAATGAATAAAAATGATGGAATTAATGTTCTTATTTTATACGTTTTGAAGTTATCAAATAACGTTTAACGTGTTAAGGATGCTATTATCCCGAAATATAAACTCATACTATTTACAAAAATGTCCCCTGTATTAGTAAATTAGAAGTATATAAGGCAATCTAACGGGCGGTGGTTATCAATGATGGACAGGTTTGGGGGTTTGAACCATTTCATGTATTGGAAAAATTCAAACGATTTTTTATAAAAAAAACTGTTACTCCTCTCGAGGTATGCATTACATTACCTCATTACATTTTGGCGCATGAGACGGGTATCGCCTCTATATACGCTTACAATATAAAAATATATTTCGATTATATTACAAAAGTTCTGGAGATGGAGATTTTAAAATTTCCGTTTACCATAGATTTTAACAAAAGAGGTGATCAAAAATAAAGTTTTTTGGTATCGGAAGTGGTTGGAATTATAGGTATTTTATCATATTAGGCTTGGTACTTCTAATATTGCCGACATACGCAGTTAAACATGTGGTTGAGGAATAAAAAAAAGACAGCAATCTCCAAAAATGTCTGTAGTCCAATTTTTCTATATATACAGGTTTATGTGATTTTTGCCTCTGTATCACCCCTACCTTTTGGTCTTGTTTGACAGTTTTGATCCTGTATCGATAAGGTCGATCTTCCTATGAAGGACGGAATTACTCAATTTAAGTGTTAAACCGTGGGTGCTGGAGGCTAATGATAATTGTACGGTTTGTAATTGTCCGGAGAAAAAGAAGACACCATGCGCTTCCTAGGGTCCTGTCATGTCTATAGTGAGCTGAGGGGAAAAATATTTTGGTCGGCAGACATGTTCGCCGTAGGAATTATTAAGTCTATTGAGAGGTGCTAATTGGAAGGCCCCAGGTAATTATGCACAAGCTAGATTACAAAGAGCCCAGCTAGTTTGTTTGTGAGAGATTAGTGAAATACCTTATTTAGATAGATAGATAGAAAGAAAAATTTATTCTGGGACAAGGTCCCTTATGAATAACAGATATGAACAAAAAATAAAAACTACATCTGGCCAAAAATTACATTAGTCAATGTTAAAGAATATATAGTATCTTCAGTAAAATTAAATTAAAGCAAGTAAAAATAACACCATTTTGAAAAGAAAACAAAATTAAAAAAAAAACATTATTTAAATGAAAAGAAAACAAAATAAAATAAACATGGGTTGATTTTTAAAATTAAAAACTATCAATTTTTACAACCATTCACATCAGTCAAAATCAGTTTCGCAGTATTTATTTTATTGTATAACGTCATTTTGGGATGTGAGAAGGAATTGGTAAAGGTGATATTTAAATGAGGACAAGGAAGAGGCATGGCGGATTTCAAAAGACAAGAAATTCCAGAAGGCAGTGGATATTTATTTATATATTTATTTGTTAGGGATGGTATTTATTTATTATGGATAGTATTTATTTGTTATTGTTGTATTGTTTATTATTTATTATAAAATGTACTCTATCTACTTGGGTATTTACTAATTATCATTGTTACTTATTGTTTTATTGCTTGTTTATGAAGTTTTGCTAACTTTTAAAAAAAGTCCATTTAAAAAAAAAAAAATTTTTTGTTTTTGAAGGATGGAAAACTGGGACACAATTTTAAGATTTTGTTAATACTGATGAAAAAATATTATTGCTCATTAATTTGTCGAGCATATAAAATGGAACATATTTTGTAGAAAGATCACACAGACCACGACAGACGAAATTTTTCATTGTCTATGTGTTGTAACATTTATATGAATATTATATTTTGTATGTATTTGCTTTATGATAAACACGTATTTATTCATTCATAACCTCATACTATAAACAATAATTATTTAATATATAAAAAATTGTATCCACTATAAAATTCGGTTTTAAATTTAATTAAATTTTAATTCGGTTTTTATTTGTAGCAATAATTTATTTTATTTTATTTTTTCAGTAGGTATCACCAAGCCGACAGGTGTTCTAAAACATCAGAGCAGGGAAGAATCTAGGTAAATATATATTTTTTATTTAAATTATCTTTCCAGTTATATTTCAAATTAATATTTATTTTACCATATGTTTTGGTCAAAATTGGAGCCAGAGTCCTAAAAAGAAACTCATAGCAGAAGGTTTCAATGTAAATTACGAAAGTTTGTGATATCCTTAGTAAAATAAACCTCTTCTGCCATTCCAAACTCGTTGATTTCAAAAATGACTACTGATTAAAAAAATATTAGGGAAGCCGAGAATCGAAATAGGGGTTATCAAAAACTGTAATAAAGTTTTTTTTTTTACTTGCATATATGAGTATAAACATGCTAATTCGGGCCACTGCGGGGGTACTTATAACAGCAGCAAATATAAATAGAAATTCTCTTTTATTTTATCGCTTTTTGCTCTTGGGTGATGCACAGAGGCAGGAAGTCACTGGTTAAAAAACTAAGGAATATAAAATTCGAGTGGGTACCTACTACATATTTTTTTTTTTCTTATTTATTGAAAAATATTACAATCTGTCTCAAGGACATTTATAATAGTGTTCACAGATCACATTCACACTCTATGTACAGTAAATAAAATAAATTATACAGAAAAATAGTATATATATAATAAATAAGAATAAAATAACCTAAAAATAAATTAATAAAAAGAACACATACATACCTATATACAATATTTACAATCTGGTGAGAGAACTCCAAACCATACTTGTCCCTCCAAGTTTGGAGGGAAAAGCATGGCTCCAGGAGATCCCAACACTTCTCTCTCAACCGCGCCACTGGGGCTAAACCCAGTGGAGATTGAGAAAGAGTGCTTAAGCCACATACACTCATGTCGTGAATGGAGAATCTGGCCATTGTTAGAACTCCAATATTTACAAACTATAAAAGGACGCGTGGCCACTGCCGTTTTAACCTCCTTGGAGGATTATATGGATGGGTGGTGCTGGATAGAGATTGTGCAAAGGGATTTGGATGATGGGTAAGGTTCTGGTGGAATTTGGAGAATTTTGATGGGATAAGGTCTAGGACAAATGGGATATTAAGGTCATGGTGTAGGATTTTGTTGGTTACTACATATTAACGTGTCCAAGTGGAAGGTTGGAAACCACGGACTACAAAAGGAAAAGTCACAGAATAAAACTTGTGTATCGCTTCAAACTCTGTGGTGAATTTATGTCAACATATTTAAATTAGGTCAAGTACACATTTCGACATACACATCTCGATTTGGGATTATTCGATTCTCCAGTAAATTTCGTTTCTTCTAAAACCTCGTATGGCAAAATCCAGAGCTGTTAAGGGCCAGAAAAGAAATCTGTATTACGTTAGCGGATTATGTTGAAACATAGACGCCGAAAAATAGGGGACTTGAGCCTCCCCAATGCAGCCATGGTGGAAGTTCAGGTCCACAAATTGCTATAATACAAACTTCGTGAATATATCGATCGTGTGTATTACAATTTCATTACAAACAATTTTTTTATTTATCTTCATATACTTTATTAACTAGCAGATATAGTAGAATTTGTTTAACTGTGACCTATTTTATTATTATTTTAGATTCATAAACTCAACTAAACTGTAAAATGAATCATCTGTTAAAATACTGTACTGTTTTAGTTTAAAGTACTCTGTATGACTTAACACGTTTTTGTCATCAGGAGGGCTTGAAACAACTCAATATCTGCCTGAGATGGTAATTTTTAATATAGGCATACATTATGTATTGCATATGGGCATATAGGATATGTTTCCAAACAATTTTTCCACCTACCAAGCACCGTATTCCGTGATCCTATAGTTTGGCCCCCCATTAATTTTCAAAGTCGGCCGTTGTGTATTCAAGAATAACCCAGTAGAATAAACACCAATACTGTTGAAATGTCTTAAGTTATCTTTATCTTCCAAGCCAATTGGCAGACTTCGGAAGATTGCCAATTCCTAGAGGTGTGCTCTTGACCTAATTTAAAAATGTTGGTATACAATGGATGCATAGTTAGATGTTCTGCTATTTTTCATCAATGACTTTTTTTTTCTTTGAGAACGAATTTTGATGCTGCAGACTCAGTTGTAATGGACTGTCGCGCGAAAATGAATCTACCGATTTTGATGAAACTTTACAATAATCATTTACTATCATTTAATATATTAATATCCTCACTATTTTCATATATATTTAGGGAATTTTCCAGAAAGATCAGAGAAAGAAGTTATAAGGAAAAGAAAAATGTTACATAGCTCACAAAGTTTTTTTTTTTTTTTATTTGTTTATTTAGACATACAATATTCTGTCACAGGGACAATAATTATATTGATAAATGAGCACATTCACACCGTATATACAAAAAAAAATAAAATTAACAAAGTAAAACAATAACTAAATAATAATAAATAAAAACTATATACAATAAAAAAAACCTAAATATAAGTAAATTAAAAACATAAAAATACAATCATACCTATATACAATATATACAATCAGGCGGGAAACTCAAATCCCTGCGCTAGTCTCTCAACCTCCTCACCGGTGTTAAAGCCGGTGGAGTTTGAGCGAGAACGCTTTAGCCACATGCACTCATGTCTTCAGTGGAGAATCTGGCCATTGCCAGAACTCCAAAATAAATACTATAAAAGATCTCTGGGCCACTGCCGCTTCAATCTTCGAGGAGGGTTGTTGGGATGAGTGGAACTAGACAGGGATTGGGCTAGGGGATTTGGATGATTGATAAGGTTCTGATGGAATTTTGAAAATTTTTCAGGGATAAGGTCAAGGACAAATGGGATATTAAGGTCATGATGTAGGGTTTTGTTCGTTACATAGAACGGAGCATCGACTATTGTTCGGAAGACTTTGGATTGAAAGGATTGGATGCGTTTGATGTTAGAGAACTTTGCTGTCCCCCAAAGTTCAAGTCCGTAGGTCCAAATGGGTTTCAGGATTGTCTTGTAGATCAGTAATTTGTTGTCAATTGAAAGTTGAGATTTTCTGGTCAGTAGTCTGTATAATTGGCCGTATCGTTGGTTAAGTTCTTATCTTCGGTTAAGTCCAGTATGTGGGTTCCACGTTAGTCTTCGGTCTAAGATAAAGCCAAGATACCGGACTGTGTCTGAAAAAGGAAGCTGGATGGAATTAAAGTGGACTGATGGACAGGATCTGCGGCGGAGTGTGAAGGTAATGTGTTTGCATTTGGATTCGTTTACTTTGATTCGCCATTTATTACACCAGTGCTCAATCATGGAGAGGTGCCTTTGAAGATTTAAAGATGCTATTTCTGGATCTGAGTTGGATGATAGGATGGTGGTGTCATCAGCAAATGTTGCAAGGAAGGTATTGGGATGGACAGGGATATCGGCGGTAAAAAGGATATAAAGGACGGGGCCCAAGACGCTACTTGAGGAACACCGGCTTCAACTGGGTAGGAGTCGGAAAATTCTGAACCACAGCGAACCCGAAAGGTACGATCAGAGAGGTAGGAGCGGAGGATTAGGTACAAGGACTGAGGTAGATAGGTTTTCAGCTTGGAAAGAAGCCCGGCGTGCCATACCCGGTCAAAAGCTTGAGCTATGTCCAGAAAAGCACCCGAGCAATATTGCTTGCTTTCCAGTGCTGCGGAAATATGATCGACCACTCGGAGTCCTTGTTGGACTGTGGAGTGTTGTGAACGAAATCCGAACTGATGGGAAGGAAGATATTGGGATTCTTTAAAAGGTAGGATTCGTTTCAGGAGGATCTTTTCAAAGATTTTGGAGAGGATTGGAAGTAGGCTAATTGGTCTGTAGGACGTAGGGGTGTTGGGAGATTTGCCTGGTTTCGGAAACAGGATAATAGTGGAATGTTTCCACAAAAGAGGAAAGTGGGTGGTTCTGTGGTATTGTATAAATAAGTCAGAAATATAACAGCTTTAGGAGGGAGTTGTCGAAGGATTTGAGGGGTAAGGAGATCGTATCCAGGAGATTTACAGAGAGGAAGTTGTTGTAAGTGATGTTTGACCTCAGAAGGATTAATTGCTTTAGGGGGTAAGGAAAGTGGAATGGGTGATGTAAGGAATTCTTCTACTGTTGTGGTATGGGTGAGGTTGGATTCTGAATGAGAGATAAATAACTCACAAAGTAAAACACATTTTAGCCAGTTTTCCAAGAGTTTATTAAATTACCGACAAAACAAAAAAAATCTTCTAAATCGAATCAATTTTAAAAAGGCTCCGACCAATTAAATTTTACACATTGATTTTAAATGTACCTTTTTCTTTTTGGTTCTGCACAAAAATTAAGTAACAATAAAGTGTTATAACCAATATTACCGTAAACATTTTTGTACATATTTTTTAGTTTGGCTTATCACCCAAATCTTGAATGAACTTAGTAGTAAGCATTTTGTTAGTATTACTTTCGTTTTATTTTTATCATTATTTTTTAATTTTAAGTGTATGCGCAGTTGTTACGTTATTGTTGTGGATTCTCCTAATTGGCAGGAAAGTCGTTTTTATGGACACACCTGATAGTTTCTATGAGTTGAGTTGGGTCACGTCTCATTTGACTGACTTGTTCATTGGTTTCGCTATCGTAGAATAAGTTCTTGTCATAGATGATTATCGGTTCTAGTTATTTAGCTTATGTGATCTGTGGAACTGATGAATATTCGAGTATAATAAATTTTCCGTGTGACATTTTTTTTTTTTTTATACTAATATACAATAAATGTTTTGTTTTGTTATTTATAAACACTATAGTTCCTAATCAAGAGGTCACCGCGACAGTCCTGACCTAGTTGCATGAGATATCTTGGGACTCTCGGACCGTTAGCTTTTAAGGTGGGGGTGGTCGCCATCTTTGTCCAATAGCTAGTCTTCGGGTCAATCTTAACTAAGTAGAGGGAAAAGGGTATGTATTTGAAGTGAAATAATTAGTAAATAAATACAGAAATAATATGAATATTAATTAATTAATATAAACACTACGGAAACATAGGCTCAGACATTCCATTCTGGCTGGGAAGGGGGGGAGGC